GAAAACTAAAGTATTTATTAGTGTTCGGTTTTTCTTAGCATTTCTAGTTGCTTCCCCAGTTTCTTGCACTGTCTGCCTTAATCATTTCTGGATCTCTGCCCCCCTCCAAATTCTTGATGTCCTCAAGTTCTGCGTGCAGTCTGCCCTGAAGGGGAGCTGCTGCAACTAAGGGACCAGCCCCCACTGGGCCAGCAGCATGAAGCACAGTTTGCTAGCGAAGAGATGCCCAGCTCTCGTGAGCAAACACGGCCGATGCCTGCAAGACGCCGGGGCAGCCAGGCGTGGCTGCCAGTGAATAGGGTTCTCCCTGAACATCCGGTGGGAGGGCAGGCATAGGGTGGTCTCAGATCCCAAGAAACTCTTTGCCCACAAGAAGTAAACAGTGTTAAGTTTGAGCATAAAAGCATTCTCACCCCTGAACCCTCCACCATGCAGTGCTGAGTGGCGGGGGGCGGGGAGGGATGGACACGGACAGCAGGGTTATGATGGCCATTGCGGGTGGTGTCCCTCTGGTGTGTCCAGGGGAGGAGCCACATGGGTGGCACCATCTGCCTTATGAGCTGCCAGGGAGTTTCTGGATCGCACTCTAGCCAAGCACCCAGGATTCCTGGTAGTCCAGAAACCGGGAATACAGAGGCAAGAGAAGCCTTGAGAGAGAGCGAGCCTGGGATCGTGGGGCACACCTACCCCCTGCCTCACAGCAGGACGGCTGTGAAGAGTCCCCCACAGCTCTTAGCTGGGATAGTGAGCACCGACTCAGGGTCCGAGTGAGAATTCCAAGGACAGAGCAGAGAGAGCTGGCTCCCACCCCAGTCCCCCATGTCTGTCCTCCCCACGGCCACCAGAGGGCGCCTATGATACCTGAATCAGGGCCATCCCTCCTCTGCTCAGAACCCTCCATGGATCCCACCTTACTTGGAGCAAAAGCCCAATTCCTCCCTGTGGCCCACAAAGACCTGAATGCTCTGCCCCGTCCCCTTCCCTCCTCCACTCTGCCCCTCACTCGTTCTGTTCTGTCATACAGCCCCCTGCAACACTGCAGACCACAGTCCTGCCTCAGGGCCTCTGCACTGGCCAGGCCCCCATCCCTGACCTCTCCAGGTCTTTGCCGGACTCTGTCTCAGCGCAGCCTTCTTGACCACTCTGTTTTAAATGGCACCCCCAGGCCCATCCCGGCACCCTAGCCCCTTCCCCACATTAATATTTCACCATTTAATGCATGACGTGTTTTCTTACTTATTTTCTGTCCCATCCCTCCCCCATCCCCGTCCTAAGCACACGGGGCAGGGATTGCTGTCTGCCCCATTCACTGTGGCAACCCCAGGGCTCAGGACAGGGCCCCGCACATAGGAGGCTCTCCACAAATGTTACACTAAGTGAACAGATAGACAACTGAGGACCGGCACCCAGCCTGGACCTGGGACCCTGTGGCTGGGCAGAGGACCCCATGAGCCAGGCTGGGGGGCTTGGGGGGGGGAAGCACGTACTGCAGCAAGGCTTTGGTTTTGCGGGTGGGGTCATCGGGCCGGAAGTTCTTGTACTCCTCCACCTCCTTCTCCAGGGATAGCAGCTGGCTCTGCAGCTTGCTCCGCAGGGCTGGCAGCGACTCCCTGATGTGGTTGGTCAGTTGCTGGGCAAGGGAGAGAAGCCAGAACTCAGAGATTAGGACAGGCGGGATGCCGGGAAGGGGCCGGCCCGTAGCACCTTCCAAGGACCGATGCCGAGATGCCCCACTGAGCCCAGCACACCACCCAGCCTCAGGAGAAAGCCAGGGAACTCTCCGGCTGGAGTCACACTAGTGGTTTTGGGCCAAGAAGAGGTGGCCCCCGTAGGGCAGCTAACCAGGCTGTCCGTGCCGCAGGGTCCACATGACACGTGTGCCGACCAGCAACAGCCTCCCACAAGTGCTCTGGTGAGAGGCCCAGGAGGCCACCCAAGGACCCACGCACTGAAGGACTGGCCCGTGGGTGACGGTCCACGTGGGCCATGGAACAACAGGCAGATGGAGAGACGCAGGGACGGGCCCTATAAACTAAGATGGAAACAAGCTCCCCAATGAAAGGAACGTAACAGCATGTGCTTCCTTCTGTGGAAGACAGGGAAAAGGAGGAACGTAGTTTTAGCTGCCCGAACAGAGAGAAGGAAGCTCTACGGGAAGCAAAAGTGGAAACAAGGCCGGAGTGGGGCAGGCGGGTAGGAAGGGGGCCTCTCCTTGTGGCCCCTTCTCCTCTCCTTTTCTGCTTTGGAATCATGGGGTGTTAACTGCTCACAAGTTGTAAGAGGAAGCAGCGCTGCAGAAAAGGTTACAGCATAAGCCTCAGGATGGGTGGTGAGAGAAAACGTGAGAGAGAACAGAAAACAAACCGTTGTTAAGGGAGGGAAAGAAGTAAGGGAAGGCAAGGGAAAGAAAGGGGAGAGGGAAGGGAGGAGGGAGAGGGCGGTAGTGATGGGGGGCATTACAGACACAGTGGTCTCTCCAGGCCCTGAGCGTTGCTAGAAGGCAGCCCAGTTAGTGGTGACACTGGCCACCACTGGGGAAAGGACCCAGCGCCACATGGGAAGAAAGGGATAGTCACTGTATTTGGGCTGTATGACTTTATTTTTTTTTTATTTATTTT